TGCCCCATGCACAAGAATGGAGATCCTGCTATTTGCGCCAATTGTGCCTCCTTCCCAACACTGCGTTTAGGATCCTAACGTCGATACTGAGTGAAAAACTGACGCCCTCCATGAACCAACGGATTGGACTTGATCAGTGTGGCTTCAGCACAAGCAAATCCACCACTGACCAGAGTTTCACCGTTCGTCAAATCCATACTTTTTTCCCGACTTTAAAGCCGCTTTTGAAGGCAACCTTTTTTGAAGGCTGCCTTTACGACTTTATGACTGGACTTGTTACCCACAAAACGTTGAGCACAGCTTTAGACAAAGCGACTGAGTTTCGTCAGACTTTTCTCCTTCTGGTGTTGGAAAGCGTTATTTGAACTGTCAATTTGAATCATATCGGCACTGTGGGCCATATGGGTAATTATACTTACAATAAAATTAATAGAATAAGGTTTTTTGACAGGTATTTATGTGCCTTTAAAAATAAAGAAAATATAATAAATATTGTCTGGATATGTCTTTGTGTAAATGGCTTAAAATTTTCCTTTTTTAATGCCACACTGACAGTCTGTCAGGTCATAAAAGGTTGGAATCAATATACGTATGTATTGTAAAAGGCATAAAATAACCATTTTTATTTTTTGTCTATTTAAAGTTTATTATTTATCTCAATTTCAAACTTTTTAGAAAAATTAGAAAAATTCAACAAAATTGTACAACAACAGTTTTTTATTAAGATTTTTCAGAAAAATTCTGGTTTATCGAGCACCGAAAATCGATTCCATAAGAACCGAAAAACGGCTCAGTGAAATTCGGTTTCTTTACATAATATGGAGTTATGAGTTACAATATCAAAAAATCATGTTTTTGAATGGAAACATTGCTTTGTTTTAAATGAAACCTTAACAAGGAAAACGTTTAATTTCATGTATTTTATTTTTATAAAATTTTTGTATGAATGTAATATATATTTATTTCTTTTACTTTACTTTATAACAAATACTCGGAACCGCCCTTCACTATCGGATGGAAATCGTCATTCTGATAATATGGAAAATGAGCGATGCAAATTCAAAACACACAAAAGGCTCTAAAAATTAACGACATAAAAAAAGCCTAATTTTGTTGTAATGTTAAGTTTTCACTGTAATTTGTTTACAATGACAATCGGCATTAAGTGTACAAAGCTTTTGAAAATATAAATTTAATACTAAGCAAATGGCAAGGATTCCTTGAAATCCTTATTATAAACAGAAAAGCAAATGGAATAATGGCTTCTTTTATAGTCCAACAGAAAAAAAAATGTAAGGTATGGTCAATATGAATACCTATTTGTCTAGGAATTGTTGCATGAATAAACCATTCAGGCAGCGAGATGGTCACCGGTGATAAAGCGGATTATTTTTAAGAAAAAAGAGCCACGACCGCAATGAGATTTTTTATTCCTCATAGATGCATATACACAAGTATAAATGTATCTACATACAGATCCTTGTATACCCTGCAGTGAAAATATGATCTTGTATGCAGAAATTCCATAGCATAACCTATTGTTTAGGGATGGAAGTCGCACCAGTTCGTCATGAAATTAAAAAAAAAAGTATTCTTCCTTTTAAAACAATAACATCTTAACATAAAAATAAACTTAAATTACGAAAGAAAGAAAATTTTATTAAAAAAATAAATAAATAAAATAAAGTTCTAAAAATTAAATGAAGTAAGAAATAAAATATTGATTTCATTTGTAAAAAAAACCTAAATACTCAAATACCATTAAAATTAAATGAAATATATTTTTTTTTTCTTTTTAAAACACTGCTCTGTCCGCCGTTGCCACTGTTAGTCTCGCGAACAAAATTACGTAGGTACTTCTTTCTTTCACGGTGCTGGCTCCGTCAACTGGTACAATGATACTAGTATTTCTACTGGTAGGTGCTGATGCAGGACCGTACAACTGACATGTCATATGACAACGCCATTTTAAAAATACTAGTTGTTAACATTGAAACAGGATAGAACGTGAACTAGTTGGGTTGAAACGCAAACTGGTACAACTCCTTACAGGATGTGTGCATATGTACTACGTGTGTATTTGTGGTTGTGTGAATGCACGTAAAATGCTCAACATTTTCCCAATCAAACTACTAAACGTTTATGTGAACGAAATATTTTATTCTAGCTTGGCATGCGACAACCGCATGCGACATGTCCACCATTTCCTGGTTACAAAACCAGCCAACCGGTAAACCAACTCAAGAGCAATAGCAATGAAAACAAATAAATACCATTATTCGGGTTGAGTTGAAATAAAATCAAAGCGGAAGTAAAAGTGCAGCATTTCCACAAATAGATGAAATCAATTTGAAATAAAGACCACATTATCCTAGCAAACATTATACACACATATGTATGTACATATATACAGCGTACGCGCGTGTGTACAGTCATACATATATGTATTACAATAATGCTTCTTTATATTATATATATCAGCATGTATTTATGAATGTGCATTACGGTGGTCCAAAAATAAACAAACAGTAAAGTCGGAGTTTTTATGCTCTCGCCCGCTAAGATTATTCTATACCGAAAAAATATACCCCTATTTTTTATTTTGACATCAAAAAATATTTAGAGGTCGGCCAAAGCGCTCAACGTTTTCCATGTATTTTATATGGGAAAACAACAACTTTTCGTAGAAATGGTATAGAATTTTTGAAAATCAATATTTTTCGACCGGAAAACTCCGTTTCTCTTCAGAAGAATCCCAGAAATAATACCCAATAATTTTTTAACCATTTTTTCATAGTAACTATATTTTATAGGTCCGTCGAAACCCCTAGAAAATGGCAGAAAATGCAATGGGGGAATAGATAAAAAATCTTTCGGTATTAAAAATGGTTAAATAAACAATTGTATATTGTTATTGGAAGTGTCCTGAAGAGAACCAGAGTTTTGATATTGATTTTCAAGCATTCCATACCATTTCCACGGAAAGTTTGTTTTTTCCCTATATAAAAACTTTGAGCGCTTTGCGCAACTTCTAAGTATTTTTTGATTTCAAAATAAAAAAGGGGGGTATACTTTTTTCGATATAAAACAATCCTAGAGGTGAGAGAATTAAAATTCCGACTTTACTTATTTTACACCACCCTAATGTGCATGCATACAGGCATGGTTACAGTACCCATGGGTGCCTTTGTTAAACTAACAGAATTGCTGTGGAAATGTTTGAGTTGCAAAAAATACATTTGTATGGATGTACATATGTTGCTGGCAAATAAAAGTCACATTGAAAAACTAAAGGACGCACAAAGTACGATAATGGCAAATCAATTTGCTGCTCCTCAACATGAAAAAATTATGAATGGTTAAAAATCGATAAGTAGGTACTAAAAATGGGAAAGAAGGTTTCTATAAAAAATGGAGTTTATGTACAGGCTAACCCGTGATCCAAAACTTATTCTGTGATTTAATATTCAAATAGTGGTAGAATTACTGTGGTTATCATTTTCTTTTATATTAGTCTGCTTTTTGGATTTTATTTCTTACAACTATTCGTAAGGCTACGAAGGAGATAGTTGACTAACAATACCCACGTAGGAATAGCTGGTATGACGGGAAAAATATAGGGGATGGATCCCAAAATAATACATAGCTATAGTTACACCAATTCCCTATCACTGTATGGTCTGACACTCTTGGGAAAGTGGTAAACTGGCTTGCGACCACAAGCATAACTGATTCGATGAGAACAACACCAACTTAGCCACTGTATACCCTACTGAATTTCTTCCTGTTGAACTGCATGCCAAACAACGGAAGCGTTTCGACAATTCATACGGGTCATCTAAATAAGTGGTCACGATTACATGACTTCTGTAGAATTTGTCAATACGAAGAGGAGCGGGAAACGATTCTGCAACTGTTGAGCCAAAGCCTTCCGCTATTGAGACAAAGACTCTGCACTCTTCGTGGACAATTCTTTGACAACTTGGAGGACTTTAGAATAATGGAAATCAGGGACCTTCTAAATTTCCTGAGAAGTTCAATATAGTTTAGGGGGGATTGCGAGTTGCTAACCCCTCAAACGGCATCGCAATGGGCCCTGAGTTTAAGCGCGTCTTATATATGACCACGACAATCTTACCTAAGACTAACCTAGATGCTATTCGTTGTGGCATTAACATCAGGGACGTCAGCGTTGTATACTTTGAGAATGAAGCAAATGGGTTTGTACCAACTTTTTTATTCTACGCCCTCGCAGTCTGGTGGACAACCTAGAATAAGTAGCTTATAAACTCTAGTAAGTGTCAACAAGATTTATTCCAGAAACTTTAACCATCAAAACCTTTACTGAACTTTTTGGCTTTCGAATTTTTTGGCAGGCCCTAAAGCGATTTGAAAAGTCAGCCAGAATTATTTTCTACTTCCCCGAAGTTCTTCCCTGCGAATCCCTTCTGGGAAAATTGGAGGGGGAAACACACTCCCGCGATACAATAAAGCCACTCGTGTGTTGTTGTTATAGCGCCCACTTAGCCCTACCTCTAGTCAGCTAATCTTTCGGTTATTGTCATCAAACTCCACTATCGGTAGGTGCTGTCCTTGAGCGATTTGAGGACTTTATTGCGGCTATCTACTTTACTGGCAGCCGCGATGACTGCGCAGACTGTCAAAGTGTGAATTTCGAATTTTCGCGTTGTTCGCTTTCGGATTTGGTACGCCATCGACGTAAGTTCGCAGCTGCAGACAGGCCCCTATAGTTTAGGAGGTAAAAAGGGTTGCCGAAGATTTCATGCGGAAGGGGTTAGATTCCTGGCAGTGCATAAGCGATGCACATACATACATGCACAAAACCAATGAATTATTTTCTTTAAAACAAAACTAAAATTTCTTTTTACGCAACTTTTTTAATTTCAGCTGAAGATAAAAAAATAGATTTCCATTAAGCGTGAAAATCATAGTCTGCGTTTAATCTGTATGTTAAATTTATTCTTAAAAATCACACTTACATGGATGTAGTTTTAAGTTCGATATGAATTTTTCCAATTTTCGTCGCAATATCAATTCAGCGCCATATTTCGCTTGTGTACCATTATCGACCAGCAGGAAGTAAGCATGACGATTATTCAACACTGCTAATTTTGACCTAAGGGCATGAATAGAGAAGAAAAGATAAATACATCAGCAAACATTTCAACTGCTTTTCATTCAAATTAGAATTTAAATAAGTATTTAAGCTCCCTGCAAAGCAGCTCATTATCCAGTCAAACACACTATCAAATGCCAATTTAGAGACACCACATGGCGTACCCCATGGCGGATACGCAACAGTGAATAGCGCTGTTTAAAATTCAAATCCAGCAACAGACCACAGCTTGTCAAACCCATGAATATGCATGCAGCAAAGTAACTTGAGGGTTGCGTTAACATTTGTAGCTGTTGAGAGTTGCCACCTGCACATATATACACGTACATATGTGCCACAAAATACAGCTTTAAAGTAGCCAAGTATTTACGTAACCCCTGTCATAGGAATGAACTTTACAATACTCACTCACCTTGGCGAACTTATGCTATGACAGGGCACCTCACGATTATGTCCCAAAAGTTCGTGATTACGCTCCACTATGCCCCAGGGTGCAATACCAATACTAACAACACGACCACTCCGCTGCTGACCCTCGAGCAACAACGCATCGCCCACCTGTTTTGTAACACCTGCAAAGTCGAAGAAAAAAATATGCATACATTATTGTAATGAAAGATATCACATAAATGGCAATGGCAATGGTAAACGTCCATACACAACGTAATGCAACTACATAAATGGACTTAAATCTAAATAATAGCGACCACTTCTTGAGGATGAGCAGTATTTGAAATTACAATAAGTTCTAAAGAATATGTAAATGAGATGCTGAACAAACAATTTAAGCCCTCTGCTATAACCGACATCGGGATTTACCATTTAAATGAGTTACTGGAAGTTGAATGGACCATAAAATAAATAAATTGTCAGCTAGCCTTAAAGGTTAGCAGAAGAAGACCCCTTACTTAGCTCAGTATGTACGAGTACTTGTAGATATTAAGATATATATGTATATGCCCATATCTATGTGCGTAGTGGCATAAGATATCAAACGTCACTTTAGCGATTGAGTAGAACGATAAGGGCGCTTAAATACCACAAAAAGCCAAACGCCAGCATTGATGTCCGCCTGATATCCGCCGAGGCAACAGACAAGTAAATAACAGATCAACAGTTGAAGGCAATAAGTAAACAAATGTAGGCAGATACATATTTGCGTAGATATGTATGTATGTACATACAAATAATCCGTGTGTGCATAAGCAATCAGAAATAATACCTTAAAGACAGCCCTTGCTTTTTTATTAATCCGCAAGGCAAACAAATGTAAACGAAACGAATTGGCTGACGTTGCCCATAAAATAAATTGTTCTTTTTTTGGTTTTTTTTTTTTGTTCAATAACTGACAAAGGCGAGATGTGTAAAGCCAAAATTAACGAAAATGGAATACTAAACGAAATCAATTTAGCATTTTCAGAGAGCAGTACATATGTACATATCTATGCAGGCAATATACATATATGGGTATATTTGTGAGTAATGCTCTAAGGCGGCACCTGCTCTGTGTGATGATTAAGTACTTTTTTAGTGGTGGTTAAGCTTCTATTAGGGAAGGAATAGTGTGGGCGCAACTTGAAATATTTCTCAATACGCATCATATCGAATATGTACTAGGAATGTATGTGCAATGCGACGTTTTATTTGCATACGTTAAAGGTCAAAAATGTGAAAAATAACTCAACTTATACCAGTCATATTAATATTTTCGTACTTAAGTTGATATATGTATATGGGGCTTCCATACCAAAACGGACGGGGTTCACACTTCATGCGTTTGATTTGTTTCAAATGTTTAGGGCTGATGCATGTACATTAGACTGCATCACTCCCCATACAAAAAAAAATCGGTACTATTTTTCCATTGGAATTATAAAATCTGTTTTATTTTAAGAAGTCCACCAAAATATTTCGGAAATATATTAAGATTTAAGTGAGCTGGACCGATTTGAAAATACCTCCAAAAATCGAGTTTTTTATGAATAAAAATAGTTTTTTTGAAAAAATCCCCTAAAATGATAAAACGGTTTAAGCTTAAAATATTTGCATAAAAATATCAAAAAAAAAATTAAAAACAAATTTTGAACGGAATCGTAATAATGAGATTTTTGAAGCTGTTTTTTATCTTTTTTCAAAGATTGGTATAGGAAAAACTTGAATAACTCTTCCGATTTAGACTTAAGAGGTGTCATTGAAAAGGTATTTTCCACCCTTTTTATTTCTTTGCTAATAAACTCATTCAAAGGATGGAAGAGAAAGGTATGATGAACGAACGTCATTCAAAGTTTAATTAAGATGTGTTGGTATTCGAAAAAACAATATGGGACACGAATGACGTTTTTTTGGCCAGAAATAAAAACAGTGTGAAAATACCTTTCTATTGTAATCCCGGTGGAAAAACCGCAACTTTTTTCGGTGATGCAGTCTAATGTACATAAATAATAAATAAATATGAACTTTGAGCTTGATTAATACATTTTTATAAACTTTACAGCACAAAAACAAAAACAAATCGATTTAACAGTTTTCCAAATATCTCGAGAACGGACAAGGAAAAAATTAAAAAAAAAGTAGACACAGGGTTAAACCTTATTGCCTGGCATTGAACGGAAATTCATAAACTTATCAAATTTAGTTGTTGTTCGGTTTGGGTTTGTGCGGCTCTTTACAATGACATAAACAGTAGACAGTAGAACTACACTAATTTAGAAAGTATTTAACTACTTTACCTGTATTTGTTCCGCCTGTAAAAATCCATGCGCCAGTCGTTTTCGCCGCCTTCAAAAGGCCCTTGCGAATTTCCTGGAAAAAAAAGTAAAAATATATTTCAAATTTCAGTTAAGCACCACTTGAGGATTTTTATTGATTATTTATAATTTGCAGCACAATAGATTGGCGCTAACACAATATGGGAAGCTGTCTTTCGTTGCGGAAATGCACTCGGAGGTTTGTCATTCCTTGCCGCGGGGCGACCGCTGTTAGAGAAAAACTTTTATTTTCTTATATTTTTCTGACGATAACCGGAAACTGGGATCGATCCAAGGCCTGCGGAATGGTAGTGCGCACTTTTAACCACTTTGCGCAATTAGTTAAAAGCAAATAAGTATAAAAAAAAATTTAGTATTGAATTGAGGCAGCAAGTCTGGCTAAGATAGTTAAAAGTCTTTTGTAATACAATTGAAAGATAGTAGGCAAGACAGTTTGAAAAATTTTGTTTATTCTACCACGAAAGGTTAAATAAACAAGCTCTCTTGCCAACTTTCAGAATGAAAAGCTCCTTTGATAAAAAGCTCTTGTATATAATTTTGCTCGGGCTGCTCCAACTGTCGCAATGGCCGCGTAAGCAGAGCAAGTGTGTGCCATTCGAGAGATCCGGGGATCAAGTCCTCGAGCAGCGCAATTTTCTCCCTTTTTTAATCTTTTTTTTTTTTTAATAAAATTTCCTTTTAATTTATATTAAATATATTGTTGTAAATAGATATATATCCTATCGAGCAAACCTGGTGGTTTTTGTTAAATATTTCCAAGATTTTTTAAGTTAAAACTTTTTAATGTAAAAGAAGTATTAAAAAGCAACGCGATTTTTTCCGCTTACACTTCATCAGACTAAATTTGCCTCGGCTATGAAACTGTATACCCAGATTGAAAAGTTGAAAATGTTGATGAAAATTCGTTGGATTTTTCTAAGCTCTTTATAAAAATTTAAGTTTGATTTACATATATGGCTTTAGTTAAACCATGAACCATATTTTTATAAAAAAAAAAAATTACTTTAAAATATTTAACAAAAACCACGATGTGTTCAGTTTTGCACTATAGTACATTTTTTTAATTGAATAACTTTTTTTTACTTTAGCTTTTAGATTTTATTGCTCTAATAAGAAAAAAATAGTAATTCATTTGATACAATTTTTTCTGTTTAATTCAATTTTCTTTTGGTTTTTACATATTCTACAGTATATATTTTTAAATTCATTTAATTTTGAGAAACTTATTTAATTTTTTTCCTTTTTTAATTTTTTTATTTTATTTTATATTTAACAAAAACCACCATGTATTCAGTTTATCACTATAGTGTATTTTTATTTAATAAATCTACCTTTTTTAGTTTATAGATTTTATTTATTTAAAAGAAAAATATAATTTTTTTATTCATTTAATTTTTAGAAAAATATTTTTCCTTTTTTGTTTTTGATAATTTTTTTCTATTTCATTACATTTTTTTTTTAATTTTTAAATTTTCTTGTATTAAATAAAAATATATATTTTTAATGTAATTTAATTTTTAGAAACATATTTTATTTTTTTCTTTTTTATTTAGTTGTTATTTAATTTTTTTTTTAATCTTTAGATATCTAAAAGATACGTTTTTTAAATATAATTTAATTTTTAGGAACTTACTTTTTTTTAATTTGCAGATATTTTCTTAAAATGAAGTATGTATATGTCTTTATATTCATTTAATTTTTGGGAACTTGTTTATTTTTTTTTGTGTTCTTAATTTTTTGCTTTTTAATATAATTTTCTTTTAACTTTTAGTTTTTACTGTTTCAAAGAGAAAACTCTTAATACTTTATTTTTGTATATATATATATTTTTTTTTTAATTTTTAGAAAACTGATTGCAAAAAAAACAAAAAGAATAATGCTAATGTATATGGGTTTATCGTTAGCAGATCTTTCAATTTGTCTTCCAATAGACAGAAAATAGCTTCCAAAATAGTTGCCATAATTGACAATTGTCTAACGACAGATTTGTTGTCTTTCGAAAGACTGTGGTGCGTCGAAAGACAATTGCCAGAATCACCCTGTATGAGTTTACTCCACTACTGCTTGCTATGCGTGATGCTAAGCGCTTAAATGTAGTGCGCTTCTTAAGAGAACTATTTCGCTAAAGCAACTTTTTCAACTACGCTCAAGTTAAATCGAACTTTTTGTGCACTTTCTTGTAGCATTTAAAATCGATTTTCTTTGTTTTCGTTTTGTTATCAATAAACTTATAAAAATAGACAACAAATAAGTAAGTATGCTACTTAGTTAAATAATAAACGCGTGCAAACTTACCTTCTTTAACTTTGGTTGCAGCTCGAAATTCGCCTTGCCACCTTGTACTGTAATCAAAAGTTTTGGCAGTTCCAAATTCCATTCTTTGGTAAACAGTTGAACTAGCAATTCCGGTCGTGTATCAAAGGACAAACGTACATACTGTCAATGGCAAGAGAACGAAAGAGAAACAGGAATACGATATTATTTACTAAAGTGGAAAATAAACTTTTTAATAATGTGAAAAGATATGAGGGCAATACAAGAAACTTACAAACGTAGTTACTTTTTTCTCTTTAATCTTACAACTATTTAAAAAGTTTACTCTTAAAATTCTTTGTCTAATCACTCGAAGAATGCGCTCTGTAAACTTCATTTGAGCCAATAGTTTGGTCAGCGACCACTTTGTTGTATTAAATTTATAACAACAACTAAGTAGATCAAAGAGTAATTAAGATAACTTTCAAATGCAAATAAATATACAAAATCTATATGCACATACACACGCACGCGATGCCTTAAAAATGTTCCAAAAACTTTGTTAAGTCTTTAACATTTCATCTTTTAATCTTCGACATCCAAGCGGAAGTGAGTAGCGGAAGTGAAATATGTACGCTAACTAAATAAAAATGATGTTGCAAACATCGTGTCTTAACATAGTGCAGACACTTAACACTATTTTAATGGTTTGTTTTAGCGTATATACGTGTGGGTAGATTTTCACATAAATAAAGCTACAGAGCATCTTGCAGCAGGCGAAGTGGCAAGTCGTCCACACAGAGAGAGTTAAAAAGCAGAAAAAAAATAAAAAATTCCACGAAAACTTTAGCTGCAATTGAACAATTTGTAGAGCAGATTTTTCCACAAATTTCTAAGATATTGCAACTTTCTCACAGTTTTTCTACGCTCGCACAACCACAACGCGCTCAGTTTTGCTATTTTCAATTTCACTCTTGAGGAGAAATGCAAATAGTATAACTACTTTTAAATTGCGAACTGGCGTCATTACTGCATTTGGACACTCTTTTGGAAATAGCTGAATTTTTAACAGTTCAAAGGAGGTTAAAAAGGAAACAGGGAAGCCAACGCTCATACTACAATACCGCCAGCAGTTAGTTAGTAGATTGACAGAGCAAGATACACTGAGACTTAACAAAATTTTTACAATCCCTAGATACTTACCGCTTCCCTAATAAATGCTAACACTATCTTAGAAGACGAATTCCCAATAAGCAGCTGCATTATATATCTCAGGCTTAATTTAGATAGGAAGCTCACATTCTGGGATCACAGCTAGACCGTGTCTGAGAAAGGGTTTAAGAAGACAGCAATGCTGAGCAGACTGGTGGCGGATGTAAACGGACCCATATCAAGCAAGCGGCGTCACTTAATGACTCCAGACCCCTTCTACTTACTTTGAAGTGTTGGACATTTGCACAGAAAGTTCTTAGCGAGTTTTTCTTGTTGTTTGTCTGTACAAGTTCCATAGAAATTATTATACATGACTCTGGACATTGCAGCCAATAGTTTCCGTAAAAAGCGTTCTGTTCTACTTATCATCTGGTGTCGAGAGCCATCGCGATACTCTGTGTATATGACCAGTTTAGTCCGTCAGCTGTGTTATCCGTACGCTTGAACTCAGTTTCGCGAGTTTTGAAGCTTAAACCATTTTTTTTTTCTACTTTCTGTATAGGTATAGGTATAGCTTACAGTGGGTCACTTACAATGCGCGTGCTTCTCTCTTTTCGTCACTCGTGTTACCAAGTACTAGATCTATGGATTCACGATAAACAAAAACGAATGTATACAACAGATGAAATGGCAACTATCAGCATTAATACCACCCAATGCACGGAAAGTTCAGAGGTTAGTTCCTCATAAAAGTTGAACAAACCAAGAGCTCTGCAGCCCAAATGCTAAACGTCTTCTGCACTCGTGTACAGAGCACAGAGTCTTGACACGAAATAATATGAACTGCAAAGAATTTTTTCACACTTATTCCAGACTTTTCGACCGAATGATTTTTGAAAAGCAGAATATACTACCGCACCCATGTCCAGTAGCATTACTGAAAAGGGCCAAAACGCTCGCAGTCTGGATTCGAACCTAAGCAGTGATGTCAAAAGATCACACCCTAAGGACCAATAGATGTACATAGGTCCAAATTCCATAGGCAAAAATAGGACTGCATATGAGAAACAGGAAATTAGAGAACCGCTTTCATTTTCTAGACAGCGGCTATTTACAGGGGCACAAGGCCGCATCCACGATATTAACTAGATCCGTCAAGTTGTACGAGTAGTAGTAGTAGTTAGATAAAAATTGCTTAAGTCTGCCCAGCGGCCGCCTAACTACTGACACTAAACAAACTTCCGACGGCAAATGGCCAATTTCACCAAACAGTTAACTATCGAAAGTGGAATCAAAATCTTATTGCATGCAGGCAATAACTATCAAGTCCAATGGCTTTCCTTGCAAGTTTACTCACTCAATGCTACTTTTATGCAAGTGCACATCTGTCTGCGGCCTGAAGGTTAATGTGTTTACAAAGTTTCACTTGCCGGTAACTACATACATATATCTACTATGTACTATATATGTATGTGAGCACCTTAGTTCCTGGCCTTGTCGGCAACTTTCAGCAATTTACTATTATATACAGGTATACATGTGTACATATATATACCTATGCATTTATGTACATACATATGTACTTATGTATGTTGGTAAATATGTGTGCAGCATGGCTACAAATATGCTATTGGAAAATTTTATTTACCTATTAAAGTTATACAACTACAACTAGACTACATACATACATATTTGTTGCTTATGGCAGTTAGTTATTGTTCTTACCTGCGCTTTGGTCGGATGTGCACCGCCTTGAAATTCAATCGTACCATATGCGTCGGTGGGTTGTGCTCGTGTATGCTTCTGTGGCAGCCAAGCGTCACCGGGTGAACCACTTTCGATGCCCGGTATAGTTTGATGCGTTTGACGTGCTTGACCGCAACAACATCTGCAAAAGGAAAATGAAAAAAGTTATAAATAGATTTATGAGAAATTGCAGCAGCAAATTTGTTATACAAAGTTAGGCAAAGAAGGAGTATGTATGTATGTATACACATTTGTAAATATACTTGTGCGTGCATCTTGAGTTCAGTTTATCATTTTATTTATACTCGTAACTGTTGTTAATCCTATGATATTGTTATTGAGCCAGATTTTGTTTTTTGTTTTGACTGAGATTTGAGATTTTACGAGATTTAAGAAAAGTGATAGCAATATTTAGGTTTAGTAGCAAACTCCATTTCTTATCAACAAAAATCAACAACGGGGACTTTTAAATTGTAAAGTTTCCTGCCTTTTAGATGAGGAGGCAAGAAGGTAATATTGGTGATGACCAGGGAACGGATTTTATGGAAATTGCCTTTTTTCTGGAAATTGCCTTTTTTCAACTGAAGATAATTAAGAATGTCCACGATTTAGCTTTCCCTGATTCCATATATACACATTTTATGTTGCCTTTTTTTGCCTTTTTTAAGATATTTCCCTTTTTTTGCCTTTTCTACCTTTAAAAAAGTGATTATAGCATTTACAATTTTTTTTTTTAAGATTAAAAAATATGCACATGCCCATGCGGCTTATAGAAGCGCAGAGACCTCTTGGCTATTGGAGACAATAAGGGGTGTGGATAAAATTATAAAGGGCGAGGAAAACGCCCTTATTCCTGATAATATGAACGTTTGAAACGTTCCATATTTAAATTGGGCTCCACTTGTATCAACTTACGTCGAGCGCGCATTTAGTACATTCAAGGCTTTTCTTTGCGAAAATCGAATGAAAATGCTGCCAGAAAACTTCAAAATGCATCTTGTGGTTCAATGTTACTACAACTATACAGATTAAAATTTTATGAGTTAGAAACACGAAAGGATAAAATAGTCAAAGATTCAAAGTACACATTTTTCATATAATGAAACTACTTCATAGTTTTTCTCTATTTACTTGTAATACATATAAACATTTCTAAAATAAATGTATTTTTTGATTGTTCATCGTATTTGCTGTCTTTTTTTATACCTTTCATGAGCATGAAATGGTATTATAACTTTGGTCCGATGTTTGTAAGTACCAGAATAAAAAGAGATAGACCCATTATCCATTTATGCAGCTAGGAACATGAAATTTTGCAGTACTTGCACTCATTATCAACAGAATACAGTGAAAATTACAAAGATCGGGTCACTATAACCTGCAGCCCCCAAACTACTGATTGTTCAGATATGAGTTATTTTATCATATCTCCTCCATTTATGCAGCTAGGAACATGAAATTTCGCACCATTTTCACTCATTATCAACAGAATACGTACAGTGAAAATAAGGAAGATCGGGTGACTATAACATATATGTATCTTTCATACATCTGATTGCTCAGATATGGGATTTTATTATAAAACTCCTTTATTTGAACAGCTAAAACCGATAAATTTCGTAAGATATTTTATAAATAATAATACAAAGTCTACTGAGAAAATCGTCAAAATCTATGCTGTATAAGCTTTATCTCCTATACCACTGATTTTTCATATACCAGTTTTTGCGATATATCTCCTTTATGTAGGAAACTAAACCCAATAAATTGTGTTACCGGTTTACATACCGATCACATAGCCATGAAAATCACTTAGATTGGTGCTAATATAAAGTATATCTTCCATACCTGTGATTGTTTAGATGCGATTTTTTATATATGTGGGTATGTAACTCCTCTATCGATGTATGCAGATGTATTCAAAAGCAGTAATCTGTCAAAGTAAAATTTGCAGATGTTCATGAAAGGTATGAAGCCTTCGGCATAGCCGAAGACAGCGCTGCTCTTACTTGTTAGTGCCTTATTTTGCTTTTTTTGCAAGACCTAGTGCCATTTCCTGCCTTTTTCGCTATTTTATTTTGCCTTTTCCAGCCTATTTCGTTATTTATTTTGCCTTTTTTTATAGGTTTTTAGGTCCTAAAAATCCGTTCCCTGGTGATGATTAAACGCAATTTGAGTCACTTATTTACTAATGAACAAGCTTTTGAAAAATTATTAGTAGAACCCTCTTAATTGGGCCCCGTAAACAATTAAACATTAGACTTCGCTAAGTTGGGTCGCCAAAGATAGTTCATAATAATAATCAATTTATTGTAATAAAGGTAACAAGGCGTGACTTTTTTTTGCTTTTCAGATTCACGACTGCTTTTTTTTGTTTGGCGCTGCAACAGATTTACGACTAAGGTAGGCTAACAAAAAATTATAGAATAACTACAAAGAAGAGATAAAGCAGTTTAGAAACGTTTAACAGGTAAGGTTAGGTTCAAGTGGATGCCCCAAACAGCAGTACCCTTAGTCATTTCTGATACCACTACAAACGGTAACTGCTGAGTTATAGCAAACAACGCTGCGATCCAAGAAAGAAGTATCGCAGGCGGCAGATTAGAGTCCCAGAAGTATTCTCGAGGCTGGTTACAAATTACGATCCCATTTTAGACCGCTGTTGAATACGCACTGTTAAGTTCCCTGCACCATGTTGTCCTTCAGGCAGCTATGACAGCGAAAATCTGGTGTAAAATTTAGTTTCCAAACTTTAATTTCAATCGCATAGTGTCCTGTTAATACACCCACCAATATTTAGAGCTACCTAATTAGTTCACTTGATCGCCTCGGCCAGGAACACCTTGCACTAGCATATTTACTGGTTACGCTGATCTCGCCCATCTGTTCAAGGGAAGTCGACATGTAGTTAAGGGTACTACCAGCTCTTTCTCGATGGTGCCTTTCTAGTTAACAGATCGGTGGTAAAACGTTACGCCTGTAATACTAGAGATAACTTACGGATACACGATTCCGTGATAAGATCCACAATGACTTAAGCATCATTGATGTGGTGAATCAGACTGTAACGTCTACCTTCCAAACTTTCGAGAGCAATTGCTGTGAACTTTCCTTTTAAAAAATGCTGCATTTAGTTAGTATCTTTACCGGCAAAATAAAAATGTAACCAAACACCAGATTGCGTAGAGATGTCATAAACTGCCAGCACTTATTATAATTAATATATTAATCCCAAATTATATCAAATGAACGGCTAACTGTACTGGGTACAAGTATTGTACTTGGAAATTATTTAAACTTGTAAATGAGTGCAATCATTTCTGAATACCAGTAAATGTGAATAGAAGTCAGTTCTTTTTAGTATCAATTCGACACTTAATACTGAGTATATTGAATCGAACCTGAGCCACACACTGAGCCAAAAGTACAATGGTTTTTCAACCAAGTTGTTGTTTGATTTTTTCATGGTAAAAAAACCAATTGTAAGAAATGTGATTCAAGTTGAAAATTTGGAAAGACATTTGTATGACTGACTGTAGCTAAGCGTGTAGACAGGCTTGCTGTTTTTTGTTGGCTTCCAGCAGGTTCGGGTTCGAATGCCATTGGAGGCAACATGTAATTTTTTAATTTTAATTTTTCTTAATTACGAAAAAGCATCTGTGGATTACAGAACACGATCAAAAGACGAAGAAAACTTATTCATGTTCCACATTTGAGAGTTATTTTACAGAAAGGCTGTAGCTAAGTGTATAGATATGCTTGCTATTATTTGCTAACTTTCAGATAATGCGGGTTCAAATCTTCACAGAGGCAACGTGATGAATTGACAATAAAAAATTTTGTTTTGTATCTCCGAATTATGAAAAAGCATCTGTGAAGTGTAGAACATAAGCGTATACAAGCGAAAAAATCGACAACCAAAAATTTGTTGAACGTAAACAATAGCGTGATAAATTATTTCCAAGCCTCTGTTGCAAATATCATCCTTGGTATTGTTAATATCAAACAAAAATCATCTTGATTCAATTTCAAGTTCGTATTTGGTAATGTTAAACAATTTTTTTTTGATTTTTTCTCTGGGCATGTAAAAAGTAATTACTGGGACAGAATATTTTTGAGTACTGCGCACTTTGAAGTTCTTTTAAATTCTGAGTTCTTTTGAGTTATACTGAGCGATTTCGAGTATTCAGTATCGATACTTTTAAAAATGGGGTACTGTCGATCGTTTTGAGAATCGAGTTCTACCGTTAGTATCGATAGTGCTCAACAGAAATTCTAATTGCTTTACACACGCTTTTCGATTGCAAACTGGCTTCCGAGTAACCGGAGCGTGTGATTAGAGAATTACCGAGTTCCTTTTTATATGCACTCTCTGTAGCTGTGAACTAGATAAACCTTACACAAAAAATGTTTAAAGTGGAATTAACGCCACAATGGCTTTATTTCATATACGCAAAAATAGGGCCTTATTTCTCGATGCGAAGTGAAACAGAGCCACAGGACATTATTTCCCATAAAAACGAAAAAAACGATGACTGATGAATAAGCAAACCAAAGCATTATTTTCAGTATTTACATATATTGAAAAAGGGAAAGCGATAACAAAAAAATACTCTGCAACTTTACTATTTAGACCGAATGAGCGAAGAGAATGCGGCCACATTTCTTAAAACAAAAAAGTGCTCTATTATCAAGCTACTGATACGGATTACATTTAGGGAAAGGGCAATGCCCAAACTAAGCGAAAACTGCTACTCGTTTCGTTCTAATTTTTCATTTTGCTCAGAGTTGGCTACGGCACGGTGGTAGAAGATTTTTATTAAATGAGAACTTTAACTTCAAAGTCAAAAAAGAGCACATATCCAAATACATACACATGTATCTCGTTAAGGTATGAAACGTTTTTATACCGGCGGAGCAGATTTTTCATTTCCTACAAATTGTTCAAATAAAGACAATGCCACCTTGCCATTGCAGTTCTATTCAGTCAATTATTGAACGATAATTGCATGAAATATTTAAACAATATGACATGTAACCTGTAGAAAAATACAATCTAACATTGTCATATACTGACTTTTTCTGGGATGTATACATATGTACATGCACACATAGCTCATTTACACTAATAAAAAAATAAAT